ACGTTTCTTTCTGTCATAGTTTCTCTCTTCTTCTAACCATTTGTTTTTCATCTCTCCTCCAGTTTCTTTCCTTACTTTCCCTCATTAGTCTGCCTTCTTTTGTTCCTTTATTTCTTCCGACTTTCTTTTCACCCTTTGAGTTTTCTCTGGTCCCATCTTTCTTTTGTTTTTCCTTCCTCCGTTTTTCCTTTTCTCTCTTCCCTCCCTGATTTCTTTCTTTTTCCCTCATGTACTCTCTTTACTTCCTTTCTTCCTGAACCAGAACAACTTTCTGCTGTAACAGAATCCTAATATAGAAACTCTAACATGTTTCTGTCAGTAAAATGATGCAATCATTTCCAAAGCTCTGGAGCAGTCTGAAAGTGTCACTATGATTCTGCTTGTTAACTGCACCTCTGACTTCCTGTAACATTCAGTGAATAAAATGATGAACAGCACCAAGAGCATAATCCTGGGGCAAGGATGTTTAGATAAATTAGAAACTCAGAGCTTTGTAAACTGGGATTAGCATGCGTTTTAGCTGATCTAAGCACAAGTGAATGGATACAGGTAAAGGTGCAAATGCAGTCCACATAGTTGAGATCTGATTGGTCAGATCATTTTGGTCACATAATGCATTTTTAAATGAAGAAAGACGTCCTTTCTTTGATGTTATTTTCTGTTTTCAGTTATGGTTTGTATAAGTGACAGCAACAGAACAAGCTGGTTATATTTTTGGGAAAGTATGGTGGCTAAAATGGACCCTGTGAACTCTCTGAAGAACAATAATAATAATAATGCTAATACATTTTATTTAAAAGGGGCTTTGAAGACACCTAAGGACACTTACCAATAGAATAAAACACATAATATAACAATGACAACAAAGAACAATAAAAAAGCAAAAGGCACAAGATAAAATAAACAAAAAATGAGTTCACAGTGAATATGCAGATTTGAACAGATGGGTTTTGAGTTGGGATTTAAACTGGGGGAGAGAACCAATGTTTCCTATATTTGGGGGCAGAAAGTTCCACAGCCTGAGAGCAACTGAAAGCTCTGCTTCCCATGGTGGTGAGGCGGACAGAAGCCACAGCAAGCTGGATAGAAGAAGATTGAAGTGAGTGAGCAGAAGTAGTAGTGCTTAACAGGTCAGAAAGGTGAGGAAGAGCAAGGTTATGAAGGGCCTTGAAGGTGAGCAGAAGAACTTCTCTTGAATTTCACAGGGAGCCAGTGAAGCTCCTGAAGAACGGGGGTGATGTGCTGGTAGGGGTTCTGGTGATAATGCGGGCAGCAGAGTTTTGAACCAGTTGAAGCTTGTGGAGGGATTTTTGGGGGAGACGATGTAAGAGAGAATTACAATAGTCAATGTGGGAGGTAATGAGGCTGTGAACAAGACTATTAACCACCTCACAGAGAGCCTGACACAAAGTCCTGAGGGCAAACTCAGTCTAAGGAGTTAGCTGTGACTACATCAGCCAACATTACTTAACCAAACAGCCTTGTGAGAGGTCCTGACTTCATTTTAACAACATCATTCAGTGTCACAGTAAGTACCTTGGGTTTTCTAAAGGCCATTAGTATATAACTTAACTCATTTCTACATTGTAACATCTGTTTGGAAACCAATCTGATCTGTCTTTAGTTCTTTGCGAAGATATAAGACATACGTTTCTCTCCCTTATTTCAGAAAAAAAACCTCTTACAAAGTGAAAACACAAAAGAGAAATGAAAGCAGCAGCTGAGGCAGCTGAAGCATGCTAAATTGTGGTAAATGTGAATATCTGCAGTTATTAATGGAAAGGATGAAGATGCTCAAGTGTATACGCTGGAGTACACAAAACCAACAGTGAACAACCTGAGGCTAGGACACAAGATACGTCTGCTGAGGAGGAGGAGTCACCACATATCGATATATAGCGATATAATACTTTGTCAAAAATGCACATAATCACGTTCCTTAACTAAAAGGACAAACTTTCCTGCTCTGGCATAGAAAGACATGTGAGCCTTGTGGACACCTGCATAGCTGAAAAAATAACAAAGCTGCAGTTCTTCAAACAGCCACTTGGGGCTGACTGTAAAATCATAGCACCGATAAACATGTTTACAGGCGAGTTTTTTTCTAACCTTTCTGTTCATAAAAAACAAACTTTTTTAGATTCGTTTGCTTACACGCTTGGAACTACATACTAATCAGACATTAAATGGCATCACCGGGTTTTTGCCAGCTTGAGTAGCTCGACTCATTTTTGGGGGGAAATGTAGAAAATACTTTTTTTAGGCTAAATTTAAAGGGAAAAAAATATATTTTCGCATACTATTTGTACAAAATCTGAAAAAAAATCAAACACAATTACAGATAACAGATTAGAGTAAATTTAAAAAATATAGTATTTGACTGATAAAACAAGAATTTCTGGCCATAGAGAGATCCATCACTCTCACCTTCCTCCTGTCTCCTTCCTCTTCGATCTTTCTCCACTCCTTGGATCGGACAATCCCCCCAATCGCGACACAACTGCGAACTCTCCTCGTGAGCGTGACAACAGCAAACGTGCAACAGCAAGCGCCGCAGGAGGGACGAGGTGTGGTTGACGAAGCCCCCCGCAAACACACCTCGACCACAACCGCAGCCATTCGCCGGCCCCCACGGGTGACGGACGCTGGAGCGCCCGTGGCAACACCACTTGGCTCTGGAGCGGGCGCATGCTTTCAAAATAGCCGCCGTGCAGTCCATGGCTAGCTGTCAGCAGGACTCTGATTGGTTCACAGTACTTCCATGTAGGGGGCAGAGTAAACTAAGTCAGCTGAAGTTGTGCTCTTCTCCCTCTCCATTAAGTTTTGTTGGTGAAAATGTGATGACATCATGATCCCGTCTTCTTCACTTTGGTATCGAGCTCCTCCTTCTCCAGAGTACACAAAGGAGAGGGGGAGAAAAAGATGAAGGAGGTAGAAGTGAAGTGATAAGAAGAGGAAGAGACTCTCCGGAAAAAGAAAAAAAACACACCAGAGGTGCTCCGACTTTTCAGGCTGAGTGACTGCGGGACAATAAAACAAGCAAATCCAGTGGTAACAGATGAACTTCTTTGTTACTCTTCAGAGGTGAAACAGCAATCTGCATACATGAGAAGTGCTCTAAAGTTGACTGCAACTCACACAAACCTGGGAAATGCATTTCCACTGGTTATTGTCCTTTGTAGCCAGAAAAATGCAAGTCTTTCTCATTCACAGGTAGAGTCCCAGAAAACAGAGTAACAACTAAAGCATCCAGTGCAAAAACAAGCAAAAAAGCCCACAACAATCCTCTCATATACGGTACGCTCTTAGGTCAGAACACACAAAAAAGAACACTTCTAAGTGTGCAAAGCCTCTTTCTCCACCAGCAGAGCCTCCGTATCTGGTCTGAAAGACGACCTCCCTCGTCCGACTGCACCGCAAATCAAAACCTCCCCTCCTCCAACCCCCAAAAAGAAAAAAACCCCACACAGGAGAGAAACAGAAAGCCTGCAGGAGGAGCTGAACCGAGAGCGTAATCTGTTACATGTCGAGAAGCACGAGGAAAGTTTAGAAAAACAGTTCAGCCTTGTCTCTTCTAAAAGAAGGAAAAACGCGCAGAGACAGAACAATTTCCGAAAAGCAGCAGAGCAAAGAAATGCTGCAATTAAAGTGAAACTCTTTCCAAGAACAGAGGAGAGTGCGCCAACAAATCACAGTGAACATGGAGGACTGTAATCCACTTTAGACCAAGAAATGTGGAAAATTTATAAAAAAAACTAGTTAAATTGAAACAAATATTATTTAAAATGTGATTTTATGAAAGAGTGCAGAAAAAACGGGTTTAAATTTAAGACTTGAAGGAAAGATTTAGGCTGAAATTTGTGGAAGAACGAATAAAAAACACAAAAAGCTGGTTTATGATTCTATAATGTCTCCAACTTTTACCTTTGACCTTTTGTTGTTCACCTAGAAATCGTTTTAGTGCAACCTAAAACATTTAACAGGTTACATTAATACCTTATAGGTAACATATAGATGTACAGAAAAATGAAACTACTAGAGATAGTGTATCTAAAGCATTATCCACTCATCTTAGAACTTTATTACACTATTTATTTTTTTATTTAGTTTTCTAAAAACATACGGAGTAAGAACCTTTTGTAAAGCCACAGTTTAAAACACAGACAGTCCGAAACTAGCTCAGCAGAGCATTTACAAGCTGTAGTTGGTGGAGACCAAAAGCAGAGGTAAGCCAGAAGCCCAAACTCGGATATCAGAGTTGCTTTTTACTGAAGATGTGGAGTGGGTCAAAGTCGGAGCTCTGACCCACTCCACGATCGTGGATCACGACAGCACAGAGGACGGGGGAAGCCTCTGTGATGTCACCCACTGGACTGTGAGGTCCTGCTATCAAGGCTCGAGTCAAACATTTTTACCATGAG